TGCGGATTTTCTTTTGTTCAGCCACTAGCCGTGGGTCAGTCCTACTAGTGCGCATTTCATTCAGCCACAGAGATCAAATCTCCCTCTTGGTACAAAATTTGAACTACCCCGAGGTAAAAACTCAATTCATTGTTTAAACTTCCCCAGTGGAGTCATGATTTTAAGCTTTATTCGGGCCAGTCCCATGATTTTCGTTTTATTCGGGCCAGTCCCATGATTTTCATTTCATTCGGGTCAGTCCCGTTTAAATCTTGTTCGGGTCAGTCCCGTTTAAATTTCTTGTTCGGGTCAGTCCCGTTTAAATTCTGTTCGGGTCAGTCCCGTTTAAATTTCTGCTCGGGTCAGTCCCGTTTAAATTCCTGTTCGGGTCAGTCCCGTTTAAATTTCTGTCTCGGGTCAGTCCCGATTTTAAAATTTCCTGTCAGGGGTCAGTCCCCATCGTTTGAGTAATTCGCAGCTGAATAACACAGGTAAGTATTTGGTGTCTACTTCTTTGTCTCAAGTTTTTTCAAAACTCAGACAAAGAGGGGCAAACTGTAGACACCAAATTTTAGCATAATTTCATTTACTATTTTATTTCTTTGTCTTTATTTGTCGTGTTAAATTTTATTCACTTTTTAGTTTATTTTAAAGATTTTAGCGTAGAATTTATCGAAAAGGAAAATTTGTTCACAAAAATATGTTTATTCAATCTTTTGGCACTTTAGTTATTTTTATTAAGTTATTTTGAGAAATAATGAAAAATGAAAAATGATGAAAATGAAAAAAAGGAAAAGTGAAAAATGCATTTTTTGTGGTTTCTAGTTCATTTACTTTTTCATCCAATGTTAATTAAGGTGTTTTTGTTTTTTTATTCTTATTATTTTAATTTTGTTTAAGTTTATTCTTTTAAAAAAAAAAAAAAAAAACGTGCTCGCGGCATTCAAGCTGCATTTTGCCGCAGCTTGCAAAGAAGCATCGGGCAGCTCCTTAGCTGCAAATATATCAGAAAGGGCTGGGGTTTAGGTTTTGGGGTTGCCCATATAAAAGCTAAGAGAGTGGACAGCCGCAAGGGGGGAGTTTTGGAAAATGAGGACAGACGCAAGAAAGAACGAAGGGGAGGTTTTCGTCTGGGGGAGCCAGAAACAAAAAAAAAAACAAAAAGCAAAACAGAGCAGAAGGAAAGCAGAGGGAAGAGCTTCGGCAGGCAGCAATGAAGGAGGAAAAGAGAGTGTGGATGGCTTCGGCCAAGCAAGGAAAAAACAGTGGAGGGTGAGGTTTGAGAAAACAACGACAAACAGAGGAAGAGGGACGGGAAAAAGAGGAAAAGAAACAGAGAGGGAGACAGAAGCCAGAAAAGGGGGGTTCGGCTGAGTGAAAAATAGGGGAAGAAGTGGAAGGTCGGCGGACAGATAGAGCTAAGGGGGAAAAATTGAGGAAGAAACCGGAAGAGCAAGGCTGTAAAGAAAAACAACAAGAAACAGAGAAAGAAAGGATGGCGGTGGATGAAGAGGTTTGCGGCTGAGAAGGAGGAACAGAGCGAAGATGCAACTGCATCGTGCAAGGTTCATTATCAGATTATTCACGGAGATCCAAGCGGACCTCTGCTCCAACGATGCTTTCCGCCAGCCCGGAGCTCTCCTCCAAGCTCTCCAGCAATCCGCTGCTGACTGTGACATTTTTCTTGCCAAATCTGCCGTCGAAGAGATCGTCGCGTCTCTCGCCTCCACCGTCATCGCCTGCAGAATATCCCGAGCAAGAGCCCTGTAAGTTTTTCTCTTTAAATTTCAGTTCTTCTCAAGCTTCAGAAATGGGTCTGCCGGGGGGTTTATTTAGTGCAATTTTCCTGTTAATTAATTTAAATTTCTTAATATCTATGCTTATATGTTGATGGGGCTGATTTCCCTCGGATTTCTGGCAATTTTGGGGTTGATTATAACCCCAATTGAGCTAAGAATCGGTGAAGTCTTTGATGCCCATTTGGTGTTTGAAGAAATGCCTGATAGAAAACGTTGAATCAAAGCTGCAAAAAATTGATGAATTTGTGTGGGTCTGTTGTGTGAGAAGCGGTTTTGGCCAATCCAAAGCTGGCCGAAGATTGTTGATTTTGCAGCAAGAAAGAAGAGTTTTGAGAGATGTTTATGTTCGGATGTTTCTCTGTTGCTTTCATTTCTGTTCTACTTATTATCCTTTCCCTCGTAGGAGTTTGAGTTCCATTTGGATTTGGGGAATGGTCAAGTTTCGTTGTATGGATTTATGCTAGTTGTATTTTTGTTTTTTAAAATGATCAGAGTTGGGTTTTTGTTGCTTTTGTCCGTGAAAGGAAGCTGAAATGGAAGCCGACATTTAGATTGTTTTGGAGAAGATGATTATTCATCTGATCTTGTAGTTCCAGTCCCCTGGCTTTTTAAGTGTTTCATCACGGCCCGAATGATTTGTTTTCCCTTGCAAGTAGGTCCTGAATTAATTTCAGTTTGGCCCCTGCCATGCGATGAAATCACATTAAAGCCCACATAACTTCCAGATCTTGTTCAATTAAGTCCCTATTTTGTAGTGTTTGAACCCCAAGTTCCCCCCTTATTCTGATATGGCCCAAAATCTGTGAAAATCAGACTAATTTCACCCTTTTAAGCTTAATCCTCTGTTTGCATATTTTATGTGGCTTTTTGGATGAATCAATTCTGGATTTTAGTGCATAATTGTGACTTAATATTCTTGTCGATTTGTCTATGTTGTTGGGTTCGGTGTTATGGTTTAGATTTTAGGTAATTATATTTAATTGGGTTGGTAATTGTGGACTTAGTTTATTTTATCTTGGGTTTTGGTCTGGGCCAGAGGATCATGACCCATCTGTTTGCTTGGTTAATTTTGGGTCAAAATAGTTAAACTAGCCCATCTGTTTTTGCTTGGGTTTTCGGTTGGGCTAGGAAGAGTTTGGCCCAAACGAACAAATAAAATGGCCCATTCCCTTTTTGTTCTGAATTTCCATTGGGCTGGGAAGCTTTGGCCCAAACAAATAAAGGAAATGGCCCAAGGGTTTGGTCCATGAAGAAACCAGAAAACGATTTTGCAAATCAGTCCCTGAATTTCCCCTTGACTGTACTGTGGCCCTGGATATTTTCAACTTCTTTCAATTCGGTCCTTAATTTAATTGCAAATAGGTCCCTGAACTTTATTTTTCTTTAATTTTGGCCCCAAAATTTTGTCAATCTTTGCAATCAAGTCCTTTCTTCTCTTGACTTCTTAAATGTGGGTTGTTGACATGATTTAATTGATTCAAATTCATGTTTATTTTTATCCTTTGTGATTATTTGTCAAATAAATTGGTGCATTGACCCTTTTTATTGTTTTGAAGCTAATATCTCATTTACTCGATTTCCATTGCAAGGGAGGTAACTTCTATATTCTTGAGTTATTTTTCCTATGTGATCCAACGTGCTACGTGAAAATTGCATGTCTACTTGCTTCCTTTGTTTTTCTTTAATTCCTTTCATTTACTTCATTCACTTTTGCTTTTTATTTAAGTTATTCTTTATGGGGTATGTGTACACCTCTTGGCTTGTAATAGTTAGGGATTTAGTTATTTTATTCCTTTTCCCCCTTTTAGATTGTAGTAAGGTCTCCCTAATGTAATAGATAGGGTTTGGAGGAGCATTCAATGAAGACCTATCGAAGTCATGTGCCTAGCTAGCAAATGTAATAGTTAGGGTTTTAATTGTCTTATGTGTCTTGCATGCTTAGTTGCTACGTGTTAATTTGCTTTGTTAGGGCCTTGCATCTAGTCGAGCATGCTAAATGTTATGTGCTATGTGTTTATGAGTGTTTGGCATGTCTACTCGCTTTCCATAGCCATGAATGAATGTGATGGATGAATGTACGTTTCCGCTAGTCCAACGCTAGTCGGAATTCATAGAATGGGCTAGTCCAACGCTAGACCCTTAGGGATTTCCCCTCGTTAGTACATGTTTGCATGTTCATTACATGTCATGCATTCTTTTTAGTTTTATCATTTTGTATGCCCCTCGAACCCCTTTTCCCTCCATTTTAGGATTTTTGCATTTCATGCTAGTTATAGGGTTCATTTGCTTGAGAGTCCCCTTAAATATGGGATATAGACGAGTGTGGCTTTTTCTAAGCCTTAGCACGCTTGTATTCCCTCTATAAAAGGGCAAATTGAGTCACGATTTAGGTCTCCCCGTACCCAATATGCATGAATTCCTTAGGCTCATGCATTTTTAAATCCACTCTACCATTATTATACCCTCATCACACTTTCATTTTTCTTCCCATTTTGCACACGTGCACCTTTATGTTTCTTCATTTGCACACGAACACTTTTATCATCACTTGCACACATGCACTTCATATTATCATTTCACATACCGGACCTTGCCCACTCACGTGCACATTTTCATTTACATATTTATTGTTTTTTATTACTTTTTCAAACTCATGTCCTCACATTGCATACATGATTCCATTCATTTGCATCCACTCGCATTATTCGTGACTTCTTCAAAGGATCGTTATTGGGCTTCACAATTAATGTGATTGGCACCACTCAACCTTTGAAGAGAAATTTCCCCAATACCCCTAGGTCTAGGGTTTGCATTCATGTAGTGCATCCAAATGTAATAAATTCTTTGGTTAAAACAAAAAATCTTTGATTAAATCACGCAACTAGCCTTGGCTAGGTCGAAGGGGTGCCTTGGATTTCTATCCTTGCCTTCCCCTTCGTCAAATTGTGGACTCCCGAACCTTTTCCGTTGGTTTACGTGGACTAGGAGTCGTTTAAAAGGGGTTTCTTACTACTTTTTCCTATTTTTTCTTTAAAAATTCATTTTTTTGTGACTTGGTACACCTTAACTCATTACCAAGTGACGACTCCAATTTTTATTTCGAAAACCCTTTTTAAACTATAATTTTGGGTCAAATCGTCGCATTCTCAAACCCCCATTTAGACCCATTTTTCTTTTAAATCACAATTCATTTTCAAAATCAAAATTGAACCATTTATTTATTTATCAAAAAATGGGGCGCGACACCTCATAGATGGGCTCTATGTTCCGCCTAACGACCCAAAAACTCAATAAATTGCTCAGGAAACAACTCCAACAAACTGCTGGCAAGCATTGGTAACCCCATCCCATCAGTCCATTACCCTCTTCTTTCTTTTCTTTTAACTCCTATATGACTAAATCGTACTGGTACGTATTTATTTGTTTTGTGAATATCTCAATTTTGAACAATTAGGATTTTACCCAGAGTGAGCGTCACTTCTTACTGTTATTATTGTTATTTTTATCGGTATTGGTTTGTGTGACTGAGTTGGTGATTTTGATTCCTGAATTAGGTTTGACATGCCTGCTCCAACTCTCACTCCCGAGTTAAAGAAAGACCTCCACCTCTTGAAGGTACTTTCACCCTTTGCCTCCTTCCCTTCCTTTTTAATTATCCTTCCTGCTTTTTCTTTTACTCGTAAATTAGAAAGTTTTCTTTTTTCCCACTCGCAAATGAGAAAGAAAGAGGAATAGCAAGGAATCCCAATAAGAGGAAAAGCAAGGAATCCCAATTCCCACCCCATCGTCCAAGTTCCAACTCCATCCATTTTCTCTCTATCTTCAGGTGCAACTACCAATTTTTTGTTGCTTTCCTACAAACTCATACAACTACATCCTAGCAGCAGTTTTTTTCTTCTACCATGGACCCAAAAAAAAAAAAGTTCCTCCTTTTGGCTCCTGTCGGATGCCTGACCTAAAGGGAGAAGAACATGTCTTTGCTTCAATCTTTTTTACATCTCATTAGTGCAAGTGTCAACATCTACCAACATGAAAAGTTGTTCGCTCTTAGTTTTAGGTTCATAAAAAACTTAGGTCTCTTGACATCTTCTTCCCAGCTTCTTCTTCCTCTTCTCTTGCTTCTTCGCCCTTCATTCAACACCTTGGTTCTCCTTCCACTTTACTCTTTCACAAATAAATGGCACAATGCAGACGAAGACCTATATTGATGTTTAATATTCCAAAATGAGATCATGTCATTCACGAAAGAACAGGAAATCACGGAGCATCACTGCTGCATCTTGTTTTGTTGTCTGAACATATGACAACATCTTGATTTTGACCTAATGCATTTGAAAACTGTCAGCTAATTCTCATATTGTTCTCAAGTCAGTGTGTCTAAAATCTCTTTCCTGTTATTTTCTTTGTCTACTTCTGCTAATGGTTTAATTGTTTTTATTGACTCTGCAAATAGCTGCAAGTGGATTTAATGTTTCAGAGGAATGTTAAAACGCTTCTTTTCCCTAGTAATTATATTGAAAATGCGTGTAAAAGGCTACTTGTTTGTGGTTTCAGTTAAGGAGTGCCATGGATCCCAAGAGACACTACAAGAAGGGTGACTCAAGATCAAAACTCTGCCCAAATATTTTCAGGCATGTCTATAATGAGGCCCGTTCATCTTTTCCTTACTGCACATTTGCATACACTGTCCAACTACCTTGTCATTGTTTTTTCATCTAGGATTATATTAAAAGGGTATTATGGATATTCTATCGACTATAGTGTGGATATGCGGTCTAATAGTATAGATATATGTACCTCCTGGTCCTGGACGCCCTATAATTGTACTAGTACTTGTCAAGGAACATCTATAATTGAGCCCATCCTATATTTGATCAGGTGGGGACTGTAATAGAGTCTGCTTCAGAATTCTACGCGGGTAGACTTACCAAAGAAGGAGAGGAAGGCTACCCTTGCTGATGAGCTACTCTCTGATTCTAACCTTGCACAGTACAGGTATGGAAGGAATAAACACACTATCTATGCCATTACACATCATGCTTTCTTGTCTGGATTATTATTGTTGGTAACAATCGTACGCTAAATCTACACTGGCCACTGTCCTTGGGCACTGTTGCTGCTAACCAAGGAACGTCTGTAGTGGTTTTGTTTTGAATGATTAAGAGACCAAGAGACTAGTTATTTCATAAATGCCCAGCTAAGTTCTGCAGACCAGTTGCCATCCTCCTTTTGTTTCGGTCTTTTATGGCGATTTTTCTATTCTTTTTAACCTGACAACATTTTTCAGGAAGCGCAAGGTTCAAGAGATTGAAGAGCAAAATCGACCTGCTGGGTTTGACAAGTGGAAAATAAGAGGACGGAAGTCCATGAAGCGTGCTAAGCAAAGAAGGCATTGATTGAGTTTTTATTCATCTAGAAAGTGAAGAACTATTCAGCTCCCGTCATTTATGTGGAAAGGAAGAGAAAACAAACTTGTACGAAATTTTGATAGATTATATCGCTACATCCCTTGTAGAATTCGCATTGGTTTTGGCCGACTGATGAGATGCAAAGTGTCATATTTTCATGCCTAGCTTATTTTGGTATTTGCCAATCCAGTTACGGGTTTCTTTCTGGGATCAGATGTTATGTTGATTCATCATTATGTGCATTCATGGGAAGTGAGACTCAGGATACAACATTGAGTAGACTTAATTCTCAAGATGAGTTGTTCACTTTTTAAAGAAAATCACGACCTCAACGGATATGATTGATGAGGCAAGTTTGTTTGGATAAGAGTTTATTTGGATAATTTATTTTAGATAATTACTATAGTACTTTTTATTATGTGATATATATGAAATAAAAAGGTGATTGAAAAAATAAAAAGATAACTGAAATTTGTGAAATAAATTATTTTTTTTCGAAATTATCTCAATCCAAACACACATTCAGTTTTACATAATTATCAAAATAACTCTACCGTATTATTGTTACTATCTCAAAAGAATAAAAGAGCGAGGCATGGACAATAGTCAACGAGCTCCAACACATGGAGCCTGTGGAGTGCCACAACCTACTACATCAAAAGCCTGTTAAGTTCATAAATGATTAGCATCAGATTTAGCGCTCCGTGCCACAACCTACTACATCAAAAGCCTGTTAAGTTCATAAATGATTAGCATCAGATTTAGCACTCAACTATGGAGCGCTTCTGTAAAATTGCAAGAATCTCAGTTGTCTTCATTCACCTAGACATAATTATTTCTGATGGTAAGTGTATCGGAATCACAATTGAAGTACATCTGAACAAACAGCACTATGTTCCTTGTGCTGCAAACTTGTATTTAATGAAGCTATGCAGCTGCATGGGAGTTTAAAGTTTTAATCATAGTCCCAAACTCAAGGCAACGGCTCCTGTGAATCACCAAGCTGAGACAAGTGAAAGTACGCATCCATCCCTGAGATAGTAAAACACCAATATTCAGAACATCAGAGCTACAGTTTGAACTTAAAAATAACATGAGTAAAATAGCAATTTACAGCAAAAAGAAGCACAATATTGCATTAGAGAAACTGGTAATGCAAAACACAACCGTGTCATTCTTCAGTAAACATCCTATCCTTCTTAAACTTGTAAAGGACAGGAACTTTAACCATAGTATCTTTTAGTGACTTGAATGCATTCTGACAACAGGGGTGTTTGGTCAGCTGATATCCCTGCACTATCACATTATTAACATCGTCTACATCACATTTCCGACTCGTACTACAAAATGCATCAATCAAGAGTGCAAAACAAACAGGACCTCAAACATCACATTTCCGACTCGTACTACAAAATGCAACATACTGCCATAATACAGACTTTTGAGATAAAAGGAAGAAGATCATGAAGATAGGAAAAAGGGATCTGGCAGAAGGAAAAAAATCCAAGCAGCAAACGTGAAAGACGTGATCAAGAGCTAATTAGTCAGAAGCAAACAACTTACGGAAAGGAAAAATTAGGATCCCCATAAATTTTAAAATCTGGAACACTGCTGTACTCTTGGAAACAAATGCAGCAGGCATCCTCTCTGACATGTCAAGCATGAAGCAACCTCCACAGTAGACATCTTTGTATGTGAAACCTAAGAAAAATGGAGAGAAAATACTTTTCTTCATCTTATTAGGACTACACAATATACATATATATATATACACAAGTGTAACCTAATTTAGATCCTAAAATCATGCTAATCTAAATCAATCTACTATCTAATTAATACATGATACTATAATCATATGATACCTAATTAATACATGATACTATAATCATATCTTTCCTAATATTAGATCACATATCTTCAACACTCCCCGTCAAGCTGGAGCATAGATGTTGCTCATGCCCAACTTGTTACAATGGTAATCTACTCGAACCCCATGTAGAGCCTTCATAAAGAGATCTCCCAATTGTTCTCCAGTCCTTACAAATCCTGTAGAAATCAAGCCATGCTGTATTTTCTCACGAACAAAATGACAATCTATTTCGATGTGTTTTGTTCGCTCATGAAATACGGGATTGGATGCAAAATGAAGAGTCGCTTGGTTATCACACCACAATTTTGCAGGCATTGAGGTTTTGAGACCTACTTCAGTTAGAAGTTGATTTATCCACATGATTTCACATGTCGATTGTGCCATAGCTCTATATTCTGACTCTGCACTCGATCGCGAGACAACATTCTGCTTCTTACTCTTCCATGAGACCAGGTTTCCTCCAACAAAGACACAAAATCCAGTTGTTGATCTTCGATCTGCCTTGGATCCTGCCCAATCAGCATCTGAAAAACACTCAATCCTAGTATGACCATGATTTTTATGCAGAATACCACGTCCAGGAGCTCCTTTTAAATAACACAAAATTTGTTCTACAGCTGCCCAATGAGTAACAGTAGGATTAGACATATATTGACTAACAACACTAACTGAATACGCGATATCTGGACGAGTCACTGTAAGATAATTCAACTTTCCAACAATCTTCTATACCTCCCAGGATCTTCTAACAATTCACCTTCTTTTGTGAGCTGCAAGTTAGGGATCATTGGGTTACTAGCTGGTTTAGCCCCCAATTTTCCTGTTTCAGATAGTAAGTCAAGAACATATTTTCTTTGGAACAGGAATATCCCTTCCTACTCTTTGCTACCTCACAATACCCAAAAAATACTTTAATAGTCCCAAATCCTTTGTCTGAAATTGACTATGGAGAAAAGTTTTAAGAGATGAAATACCTGCAGCATCATTTCCAGTGATAACAATATCATCCACATATACTACCAACAAAATAATACCAGCTTCAGACTGTTTGTAGAAAACAGAGTGATCAGATTTGCTTTTCTGCATCCCAAACCTTTCAACTGCTAGACTAAATTTTCCAAACCAAGCACGAGGACTCTGTTTCAGTCCATACAAGGACTTCCGAAGATGACAAACCTTCCCAAACTCCCCCTGAGCAACAAACCCTGGTGGTTGCCTCCATATAAACTTCCTCTTGGAGGTCTCCATGAAGAAAGACATTCTTGATATCTAGTTGATGCAAAGGCCAATTATGAGTGGCTGCCATAGAAATGAATAACCTGACAGATGTTAACTTAGCAACAGGGGAAAAAGTGTCAGAATAATCCTCTCCATAGATTTGAGCATAGCCTTTGGCAACAAGGCGAGCTTTTAACCGAGCAATCGACCATCAGGATTGAATTTAACTGCAAAAACCCACTTACTCCCAATGGCCTTCTTCCCTGCAGGTAAATTTACTAAGTTCCAAGTATCATTACCATCTAGAGTGTGAGAACCCGTACTTTTCCCATTTTCTAGGGTTTTATTTATTTAATGGTTTGTTTTCTGCATTTCTTTAGTAGGAAAATTTTCTAGATATTTTAATGAGCAAATATAGTTTTTAGAAGATTTTTCTAGTATTGCGATAGTTTTTGAAAAATTAAGAATATATAATGGACGTGGACCCACTAGGGCGAAAAGTTCGGAAAAATTCGGCCAATTAGGTTAAATTTCGGATACTGGTTGAAATTTATCGGGTGTTAAGAGATAAGTAGAGGATGTGAAGTGATTGATGTGAGAGGAAAAGAAAGGGATAGGAATGCATTTAATGAAGTGACAAGTGTCACTCTTCCATTGGTTGGACTTGGTGGACAACTATTCACCTTTTTGACTTTTTTTGACTAATTGATTAAATACCCCAAAAATCACCAAAAATTCACTCTTTTCTTCTCCTTGTTGGTCGGCTCTCTCTCTCTAGCAAAGGAAGGAAGAAAACTCTTCAAAGGTTGGCATCCATCTAGTTCAAATCATCCCAAGCAATCCCTTAAACTTGTTTCTACTCCATAAAACCTCTTCATTTGGTGTTGTTTAGTGGTTTGGTGAAGTGTTTGGAGGAGCTAAGGTGTCCTACAACTCTCCCTCTCTTGTTTACTAGGTGAGTGGTGATTGAACTTCCTCCTACACTTAATGAAGCTTAAGTTATGCCTAGTGGGAGCTAAAGTGCTGAAATTTGTGGTTTATTTCTTGGTTTGAGATGAATTGGTGAAGTTTTTAATTTGTTGATGATTTTTCTGGTTTAATTTGATCATGATGTTGTGGCTGTCCATGATGGTTGGAAATAATGTTTAATAACTCTAGTAGGTGTAAATGATTGGTAATTGCAACCAATTTTGGGTTTGGAAGGAATTTGAGAAAGTTAGGGTTTTATATCCCCAATTCTGTCCGGTTTTGTATCTCATGGATAGAGGCCGAATTGGCCTTCGATTAAAACATGAAAGTTGTAGGTATTTATGTTTTAAAGGTGCTTGTAAAATTTCAGGTTAATTGGAGTAGTGTGGAGTGAGAAAAGTCCGAAATACTGAGACTGGTCTAGGAAGGGGTGCTGCGAACAGGGTTGCCTTTTCACTCAATTTGACCGTGACTTTTCACCCTGATCCTCACCGAATTAGATTTTGGCCAAAACATGAAAGTTGTAGCAAGGCTATAAACTAGTTGCCTGTAAAGTGTCAGCTTGATCCGACTACTGTGGCATGTGAACTGACCGAAATACCCTTGACTGTTTTCGAAACCTGTTTCGCGCCCAGATTTCTGTTTTCGTGTAGTCTTCCATTTTCGACCATGAAAATGCACGATTTGGCCTTTGCGGTCTTCTGATGAAATGTAGCTTGATGTCTTAGCTACCATATTCCCTTGGAATTTCTGGATTTGGACTTGTAGAGCCTGAGTTATGATGTTTCCGCTAGAATGCGTTTTGGTGAACCTGTTTTACGTTTTTGATATAGTATCTTGCATTTTGACCTGTTTGCACTCAAAACTGGGTTGAGTGACCTTCTGTAATGTTGTAGCCCTGTCTTTTAGCTTCGAGATGGTGGGTCTTGTACCCTCATCCGATAATCGTAGTGAAATTGGTACCATTACCGCAAAATGAGGACAAAAGTTAATTGCATTTCCGGATTTTCTGGTTACCTATGATACTTGTATATGCATATGAAACCCTATTGGGGTTGTGATTGGCATTGCTTTATGACTCGTTATCTAGTCTCATTGTACTTGTTTACGTGTTCTAGGGCGTGATGG